TTTTTCCTCTAATATTCGGCGATTTAATCCGCACACATCGCCTGTGCCCGCTGCCAGGGCTGCCGTACGTGGCGCAGCACTCGGGCCGCCAGCACGGCGGCCGGAGATCGGGGAGGGCGCCCGGAGATGTGCTCCAGGCCTGTGCGCGCACCTCCCCGCGGCCTGTGAGGCGTCGCCAGCAGCCGCGGCGACTGTAGGGGCCCCAGCGCGGGCGCAACGGCGCGCTCTTTGCCAGAAAGACAACACCGTGTTCTTGACGACGCGCGGGAACCCCGGAATCAATACTGGCTCTGCGTCCCACGCGCGGCCGTCCATCCGTAATCGTCCAATGGTTAGGATATTCCGCTTTCACCGGAAAGACCGGGGTTCAATTCCCCGTTACGGAACAAATTTTTTTATTTTGCGGCTGTGCCCTGCCCCCCACGCGCCAACGTCAAAACGGTCGCGTGGTCTGGCGCCCCGACGATCGCTGTGGGCCCGCGGGGCGTGCGCCTTTCGCCGCGCAAAGGGGCGCCGTCGAGGACATGGCGTGCACACTACTGTCTCTTGTCTGCTGCTACTTCACTTGCACTCTTGCCGCGCTCCGCCTTTTTTGCGTGTGCCAGCGCCCCGCCGCGCCGCTTACGCTTTCGCCCTCCTGCCCCGCGCCCCACTCTCGCGGCGGAGGCACTATCGCATGGCCCGGGTGCCCGTCTCCGCGACCGCGTCCGAGACCGACGGGCTCTCGCCGGGCGCACAGCTAAAGGTGCCGCTGTTGCTGCCGTCGCTGCATGGCGAAGGGTGCGACGAGTACGGCGGCCAGGGCGCGGCGCGCCAGCAGAGTCGCGGCTCCGTCGGCGCGCGGCCCAGCGTGCACCGGCTACGGCTGCCCAAGCGCCGGGCGATGTCAGCGGGACGCAGCAGCACGCCGCCATCGCCAGCGACTGCGAGCCCAGACAGCGCGATGGCGCTGCCGATCCTCCGGTGCACCGGCCGGTGGCCGACGGCAGCAGAGGAGCACACGCGGGGTGACTACCCGAGGCACAGCTACTCGAGCAGCGCCGCGCACACCCTGGTTGGCAGCGAGGCGGGCCAGCCCGGGCTCGAGCCAGACACAGGGGTGCGTGACCCACACAGCTCAAGAGCTGGCCGTCGCAGCATCGCCATATGCCGGTCGTCGCGCAGCAGCCTGAGCCACCGGCTGAGCCAGAGCTCGCACCACACGGTGCCGCCGCTGGGAGCGACGTCGCCCACCCTGCCCATCGCCACGCGGCCGCGGTTCCACTCTGTGCTCTCGTTTCGGTCCGACAGCAGCCACCTGCGGTCGGCGGCGTCCACGGACCTGACAATCCGGCTGAGCGTGGACGCAAGCCGGTCGCGGAGCTACCGGCGGCTGCTCGACGGCAGCGCGGTGATGGCAGCGCTGCGCGTGCTGGAGGACGAGTGCCAGCGCCCGGTCCCGGCAGCGCACGCCGCGGTGGAGAAGAGGCTGGTCGGTCTGTACTTTGCCGCGGCGTGGAGCGCCGACTGCGACGACTTTCGGTCACTGCTGCTGGGCGTGTCCTCTGCGCATGGCGACGACTTTGTCGTGGTCCATGTGTCGGCCGACAGCCACCCCGCAGACATGGCCCAGACGATGGCCGGCACCGGGTGGCTCTGTGTCCCGTGGAGAGAGCACCGGCTGCGGCAGGACCTGATGGAGAGCCTGGGCGTCGTGCCGGCCGAGCTGCCAAGGCTGGTTGTTGTCGACGGCTACACCCACCGGGTGGTCTCGGCTGCCGGCCGGCCGGACGTCGAGAGGCGCCCGCTGACGTGCGTGCGCGAGTGGAAGCGGAGCCGCTCCGGGGATACGTGGGGCAGACTCAAGCCATGGTTAGTATAGGCGCGAGGGTGCCTGCCGCCTGTGCCGGCGCAAGCCGCCCTGGGCACCCACTCATCGACCCGCCCGCTGCTGTGTTCTGCGCGCTGTAGGCTGCTCGGGGGCCTGGCGCTGCTGGTGGCACTGTTTGTGGTGCTCCCCGTGTACCTCTAGCCTGGGGGGGCCCGTCCCCCGCGCGGGGGGCACAACTTCCCCGCCCCGGCTGTTGTTTACCTTAGCGGTCGGGGAGGCGGGGACGAGAACGCTGTCCAGATCAAGATTCAATCAGCGGAACCGCACTGCCACAGGCTCGACGCCTG